CCTATATAACATCTCAGTAAGGATTTAGATCGGTTAGGGTATTCGTTTTTTCTAAACAAGATTAACACAAAATTATATATTTTATCAACATACTGAACGATTATTAGGTCTCCTAAAATGCTTCATTTTGAGTCTACTTATTTTACGATTTCTTTCCTTCTTAGTCTCTAACGAATTTAGGAAAGACCCTTCCATATTGTAGGGAATCAATTGGAGGTAAATTACCAACTGATTAAAATATCCCCAACAATGGTTATTGTTGAAGATAACAATATGAAAGCATTAAGAACCTAAGTATTTGCAAAAGCACAGGTAGGAGAAATAGGAGGCTAAAAGTTGTCTTAGTTTAGAAAAATATCCTCCATGATGAAAACTCAAATAATATCCACATGATAAATAAATGAAGTAAATAGGTTACTTCAAAGATCTCTAAAATGAAAGAATGGTCCAGACCTCTAAACTCTCTATAAATGATGATTTTGATGCAGACCATGACGTTATCAACAATAACAAACCCTTGGTCATTTAGTTTATAACATAACAAGTTTATAATTAGTAGCACTAATTACAATCTTACATTTAATATCCCTATACAAATTGAGAATTGGTTGAATGACAAGATACGATTAGTTATGAAAGATAAGAATCATTGTAAATAACTGTAGAGAAAAATAGATGTTTTAGTAAACATTAATGAAGAAAACTTGAAAAACATGATTCAACAATATTTCGTTTGTCAATCATAAAATCATTTATCGTTTACTTACCATTGTGGAATTTATGAAAATAACCTATAGAGACAATCATACCATACAGATCATAACTTCATGAACAATCAGCAACATAGAACATCATAAATTCATATCCATTACAATAAACCAAATCATAATCATTTCCCATTTCACAGCCTACTAGTATCTATGGGGGTTTCATAGGTGTCCCACTACACATGAACCCTTTCTCTTACAATCTTAAATAATAGGGCCGTCCCCATACCCCGTCCAG